TCTCTTGCTCTCTCTCTCTGGTGAGTGCATGCATTCTGTAACAAAGGCAAAAACAAAACAAAGCAAAACCCACTCCCACAGTAACAGACCCCCTTGAATCCATTCCCATAATAATGGCATTAATCCATTCATGAAGGCAAAGTCCTCATGGTCTAATAACTTCGTATTAGACCCACCTCCCAACACTGTTGCACTAGGGATTAGGTTTCCAACATGTGCTTTTGGGAAACACTTTGAAACCATAGCAGTCAGGAATGAACTTTTTGTTCTGGCTTCTAATGACCTCCAAGTCCCACTTACGGTTCACGCAACAAAGGTAGAAGTGACTGATGCTCTGAATCCTTTGAAGAAAGCTGGGAAAATGGGTGAGGATTATTTATTCATCTTCTTTGTAAATTGTGGGAGCTGTTTAAAGCTAAACAAGGAATTGTACACTAGTTTCTCAATCTTATCTGGAGTCCCCTTTGGAATCTCTTTTTGAACTACTTACTACACTTTAATCATTGCTATGCAGATGAGTCCTCTGATCCCCATCTAATCCTTCCCTGGGCCTTTGTCTTTCTTTAAATGAAAAGGTTACACAGAATTCAAACTCCTGTGTATAAGCAGTCTCTCTCTACCCTTTTCACCCATCAGCATTTTGACAATTGGTCTTTGGGTAAGTCTGTATCATTTTCAAGTCCAGTAGATACCCTTCTTCGTAGTCTCCTGCCTAATGAAACAGAGACCTTTGGCCTGTGAAATTCCAGGAGCCTCAAAAATCAGTTTGTGGAGTATTGCTCAGTGCCATTAGAGAAATTCAGGTGAAAGAGAAATCTCATAGTAATGGGGATGTTAGAAGTTTCAAGTGAAGCTGACCTGACAACTTCAAGTCGTCTAGGATTCAGGGAAAGGACAATCAAATGGGGATGCTTCCCAGGGTGACAAGCCAAGTGATATGCATTCAGACAATGTGTGTTCCTTCGTGCATCCAGTAAAGTAGGGCTAACTTTAGAGTACTGCTAAGGAGTGAGAATAGAAATAGGCATGAACCTGAGGTCCTAAACCTGAGAATCTGAACAAGGAAGTTGGGAAGGCCTATAGTGTTATTTCTCCAAAGGAAATTTCAGGTACTCTCTCCTTGTGCTGATATCTGCCTTGTTAAGCTGAACATAAATATAAAATTAAAAATTCACAGCTATGTAATTCTATCAACTCAAAAACTATATGCTTCTTAAAGTTGACTCAGGCCTATGTGGAAAAGTGTTCTACCCAAGGAGAGAGGTCTCAAACCAGCAACTCCCTCAGCAGTTTTTGCATGGTCCCACTCACACAGTTGATTTCCCTTAATATGATAGTGTTGTCTTTGCATAAAGAAGCATTTCAGTATAGATGTTGGTTAGAGCTGGGGAGACATCAAAAAGGCTCTATTCACTGAGAAATTACCTTCCTCCCCAATTTAGATGTTTAAGCTGTGACAGACATTTACAGTGACAGACATTATATAGCTTTTCCCACTCTATCATGTGTTAAAACTTGAAAAAAGTCTCATGACATTGTGATTCCTTGGGGTAAGAGGGAGCATTAAAGGAAGTCACCTAAAGCAAGCAGGACCCAATTCTACATCTGGAAGGGAGTCTTCCTTTGATTTAGTCACTTTAGGGAGTAGTAAACACATGCTCTGTGCTGAGAAGCTACTTAGAGTTACTCTCTTGGCATTCTAGGCAGATCAGCTCTCTAGTAGCTTAGAACCACATACAAAAGCAGTAGACGTGTGTTGGATCTAAGTCAGTCTGTGTTCCCATCATCTCCACCACTCTCCAGAATTTTTTGTCTGAAGTTCTCACAGGAAGGAGTACTGGAAACTAGGCTTTCTCTTTTGGCAAGTCAGTCTGAAGTGTCTGGAAAGTCAGCCCTTGAAATTGGCACTACTCAGCCTTTCCTCTTTGCCATCCCAGAATCTCCTTACATAGCTACCCTCTTATCTGGTGCTATTACATATCCTATGCCTCAGACTAACACTTTCTTAACAATCTCTGATAGCATCATGCCTGCTTATAATCATGCTATTGTCTAAAGAAGAATTTGATATTTTAAATTATATCATTCCATATAACCTTATAGATCTTGTAAATAGGGAGACCACAAAAGTAATATATGACCTTATGGAAGATGTTTTATACTATGTTGTTTATTAAATCATACCAACATCCAAGAAGTCATACTCTTCCTGATTGTGATCTTCGAAAGGCTTTGTAAGATGATGTGGTGGTGGAAATATACATATAAACATAGTACATATTTTTGTAGCCCTCCTTCTGGTTTCCTTCCTCAGCAATTTGAGTCACGACAGAAAAGGAACACAAATTCTCTGTGTAGGAAAGTTCAGCCTCCTACCTGCTGGTGTTCTGGAAATTGCCTTAGATATTTATAAGCTCTAGGATTTCTAAATAGAAGGCTGACAAGACACACTGTATCCAATCCCAGAAAGAATCTCTAATTGTGTGACTGAGAATTAATTTGGAAAGACCTATATTTTTAATGTTTTTGTTGTTGTTGTTTTTGTTGTTGTTTTTTTTTAATGGGGATTCCTGGGCCAGCAAGTGGCATGATGGTTAAAGGCACTGGATTCTCTCATGGCTGACTGGGGTTTGGGTACC